TGCCTGATCACCATCACATCCTTCTGTTGAAAATGTTATTTCTGTACTATAGATTTACAAAAATAAATGAAATTATTGTACATTTCAGGCGATCAACCTTTTTTATTACTGTCAATATAATTGACCACATGTTTTAATTACAAATAGTGTATGTGCTTCACAAATCACGCACTTAAAACAAATGCAGGAAAACAATACTGCATATAAACAGGTACAATGTGCCGCATTGTCACATCCACGAGTATCAGCTAATACCCAAGAAGAGGATACTGTAGATAAACAGGTACAACATGCAGAAGACTGTCTCATCTGTGTTTTTCACCTCAGTACTGTCACTATAAGGTATAGCTAAATGGAAACGTTTTGTTAATTTTTAGATAGACTGGAGATGGATCTGAACACTTGCCAGCTTTTTATTGCAGTCTGTGTACCTGAGCTTCTGCAGTTGTCATAAATTAAGTGAACCAATGCAGCGCTACAAGTGGAAACTCTACCTGAAACCAAATGTGAAAAATTGCAAACAATAATGATATACTTAAACAAAAATAAGTCCAAAAACATGTATACAAAAAAATAATTATATGTGTTTCCTTATTAGTGACACCCTTTTCCTTCTATGATCACAAAGTGCTTCAAACACAAGTGAATCCTTCCACCACCAGATGTCTGCTCACCTCCAGCAGTGTGACATCACATTATACTATGTTTTGGTGTGACTGCACTTGTGGTCCCACAATGGACTCTGAAGATCACTTGATGGATTATCAATTGTAATTCTGACCTTGTTCGGGATGTTAGATCTCACTACCAATTCACTGCCTGAAACATCACACCAAATGACTCATTGTGCTAAACAATGTTGACACTGTACAGAACTTCTGACCCTCACACTCTCCTCTAAGATCATCAGTGTTTATCAACTGGAGCCCAGGAGGCTGGCAAAAGTCCAGTTGACTTGATTTCTAAACCCAAATGCTGGATTATTTTATCACCTCCATCGCCTGCTACCAAAGCCCGCAGCAGCAGACAGACCCCTGGCAGTTGAGTGTAGAGGGTGTGTTGGGTAAAGTTATTGTTTTATCCTTTTTAAATGCACATGAAATCCTGGACAGCAAAGTAGTTGTCATGTTTCCCATAATCATTGACAATCTCAATTTGGAAACTAGTTTTGGTGACATGGCGGTCCCCAAGGAAGTCCCTTCAATTGCTGCGATGTTATATCACTTGATTTTTGGCTATGGGACATGAAGTGAAGGTACATCTCCTACACGGGACACAGATAGCAAAAAAAAAGTGAGGGGTTATAACCCCCTCATTACTCTATCCAAAAATAAATATATATAAATCTCTTACTATAGATCCTGATAATAAGGATTGGGAGAACATGAATACTGGGTGGCAGTTTGTAAGGAACTGCCATAGGAGTGTGATTGAGAACTTGTGGATTCATACAAGTTGGAGGTGTTATTATTTTGAGTGAACAGAGACACTTGGCATGGTGGTAATGTATTTGGGGAAGTGCAGGCTGGTGTGCATTGGTGTTGCTACATGGGATTGTGACGGGAGTACTGCTGCTGAGCATATACCTGCTGAGGATATGTGTTATGTGCTGGTACATCGGATAACCTTGTGATGGCTGCTGCTGATAACTTAGTTGGCATTGGATCTCCAGCCATTGCAGCTTTAACACATAATCCTGCAAAGCTAAATATAACCATTTGAACCTCCACTTTTTTTTTTTTGAGGGGGAGTTAGAGTAAGATGATGGTACATGTTACAAAGAAATGTAGCATCTTGATCGGCTGGATCACTAAATGGATCCATAGGGTCAGCCCTCCTCATCGCCCTCATCCATGAAGGACATCATTGCCGCTTCCATGTCAGGCTTGGGTTGCACTCTAGGACGACGGATGTATCTCGAACTGGTTCTTCTAGGACAATTCTGTAGGGTATGAAAATCTTATTTAGAACACTTGCATTTTTTAACATTTTTGAATGGGGCCTTTGTTGGGTAATATTTACCATCACATGTCTGTCTTGACTGGTTGCTCTTTCCTGCTGTCGGGACAGTTGGGAAGATGTAGTTTGATCTGTACTCTGCTCAGGTGCTACATGTTCCATTTCTGCCTGTGGCTCGGCATCAGTGTCCTCCAAGGACATTTCTCCCCCTCCTCCTCCTCATCAGAATTGTTAGAGCTGGTATTGCAATAATAGGAGTGAATCATTACGTAAAGTTTAGTCATGTCATATTGGGGACATCATGCTATTACAGACAGTTTGTTATGGGCTTAAATCCATCTCATTTCTTAAGAAGTCCTACATCTCAAAAAAAAGGATTTCCTTTTTTTTTTTTGCTGGTTAGTGCACCACTTCGACGTTCTTCAGCTTCTTTGAGTTCTCGTCTATAGTGGTCCCTCTGGGATCTCCAACATGTCATAATCTTTTGACCTATATGAACAAAAAACAGTGGATACAATGACCAAAAAGAAAGTCAAACAAATATGTGTGAGAACAAAAGAGACATGGGTGCATTACAAGTCACAACATTCCAACAATGACAAATGGGTGGAGTACAAGTCTGCGCATGCAGAGAATGAATGTACTAGAAGTCTCAGCATGCAAACAGTGAGAAATAGGTGGACTACAAGACTCAGCATGCAAACAGTGAGCAATAGGTGGGCTACAAGTCTCAGCATGATAACAGTGAGAAATAGGTGCCAAGAGTGTCATACAGGTGTACTACAAGTCCCAGCATGCTCCCCTCCCCCTACAAGACACCTACCACATTTTTCACGCTGCCTTGCTTTGAGTGATGACTAGCTAGGTGTGACTTCAAGAAATATTTCTTCCCAGAGTCTTTTCTTTATGACCCTATCACTGTAGTCACGACAGGCACAGTCCCATAATCCTGGCATGGCATGGACCAGGTTAATGAGTCTCTCATGGGACACATCTATGGCCATGTCTCCATAAAAGCTGATCTCACAGGCATGTCACTTCCTTCTGGGACCACTACCTGGGTCATAGGTTACTGTTTTATTGAAAATTGCAGAAAAAAAAGATGCTAGCGGATTGGATATAAGCGGATGTCATCCGCTAACATCTGGTTTTTTGTCTGTTCTGTTTGTTTAAGAAAGAAAAATAAGGATTTGTTCCAATCAAAAAATGAATGTTAAGGATGCGGACATTAACGGATGTAAGAAGGATGTTCATCCGTTTATATCCGCAAGTCCATAGAAATACATGGGTGTCCGTTATTTCATCCGTAAATGGACAGATGAAAAATGGACATAGGGAACGCCCTTGTGAAAGAGCTCTTACACTTGCCTGAAACGTTGTCAAGGTTGTCTCTAAACAAAACACCTGGCAAATGCACTCCTTGCACATTTCCTGCAGAAGATGAAGCTGGGTTTTTTTTTAGCAAGACAGATGAGATTTTTCTTGGTGCAGAAAACTGTGTACATTACATTCTTCTGACTGCCATACTCTGTACGCTGATGTATGATACATACATACTGGTGTATGTTACATACTTTTGGCCGCTGCACTGTGCATTATATACTGCAGTGCGCGGCTTAGGGTGAACACCGATCAGTAGACTTCTGGGAGATGCTGCAGCTGACATTACATTTGAGTGTGTCCCACATCTCTAGTAATGACTTTCAGCTGTTTATGATAGAGTCCTGTGTGAGCCCTCCATGATTTATTTCATATTTCCTTTTATGTTGCCTTCGCATGATTTAGGCTGGTCAGGCTGGCAGCTTCACAGGCTTGTTAACCATTTACTGCCCTCCTAACAGTGCTTGAGCAATTGACCGTAAGAAATGTGAACTGCTGCGGCTTTCTGCCACTTTGTTGTGTTTTGTAAAACTCTGTCTACATATGCGGTGACTGGTGTTTTTTCCAACACTGGGAGAACACCAGTCACTGCTAGGACACACTTGCAGCATGTTTGCAGTCTCTGTAGCAGGTCTACAGTCTTTGACCATCTTTTGTACTATTTTTACAGCCTGTGACTGTCTCCTGTACTATGTCTGCAGCCTCTGACCGTCTCCTGTACTAAGTCTGCAGTCTCTGACCGTCTTTTGTACCATGTCTGCAGTCTCTGACCATCTTCTGTACTATGTCGGCAGTCTCTGACCGTCTCCTGTACTATGTCTGCAGCCTCTGACCATCTCCTGCACCGTGTCTGCAGCCTCTGACCATCTCCTGCACCGTGTCTGCGACTCTGACCATCTCCTGTACCGTGTCTGCAGCCTCTGACCGTCTCCTGTACCGTGTCTGCGACTCTGACCGTCTCCTGTACCGTGTCTGCAGCCTCTGACTGTCTCCTGTACCATGTCTGCAGCCCCTGACCGTCTCCTGCACTGTCTAAAGCCTCTGACCATCTCCTGTACTAAGTCTGCAGCCTCTGACCGTCTCCTGTACTAAGTCTGCAGCCTCTGACCGTCTCCTGTACTAAGTCTGCAGCCTCTGACCGTCTCCTGTACTAAGTCTGCAGCCTCTGACCGTCTCCTGTACTAAGTCTGCAGCCTCTGACCGTCTCCTGTACTAAGTCTGCAGCCTCTACCGTCTCCTGTACTAAGTCTGCAGCCTCTGACCGTCTCCTGTACTAAGTCTGCAGCCTCTGACCGTCTCCTGTACTAAGTCTTCAGCCTCTGACCATCTCCTGTACTAAGTCTGCAGCCTCTGACCGTCTCCTATACTAAGTCTGCAGCCTCTGACCGTCTCCTGTACCGTGTCTGCAGCCTCTGACCGTCTCCTGTACGGTGTCTGCAGCCTCTGACCGTCTCCTGTACCGTGTCTGCAGCCTGACCGTCTCCTGTACCGTGTCTGCAGCCTCTGACCGTCTCCTGTACCGTGTCTGCAGCCTCTGACCGTCTCCTGTACCGTGTCTGCAGCCTCTGACCGTCTCCTGTACCGTGTCTGCAGCCTCTGACCGTCTCCTGTACCGTGTCTGCAGCCTCTGACCGTCTCCTTACCGTGTCTGCAGCCCCTGACCGTCTCCTGCACTGTCTAAAGCCTCTGACCATCTCCTGTACTAAGTCTGCAGCCTCTGACTGTCTCCTGTACTAAGTCTGCAGCCTCTGACATCTTTTGTACCATGTCTGCAGTCTCTGGCCGTCTTTTGTACTATGTCTGCAGCCTCTGACCGTCTTTTGTACCATGTCTGCAGTCTCTGGCCTTCTTTTGTACTATGTCTGCAGTCTCTGACCGTCTTTTGTAGTATGTCTGAAGTCTCTGACCGTCTCCTGTACCATGTCGGCAGTCTCTGACCATCACCTGTACTATATCTGCAGCCTCTGAACATCTCCTGCACCATGTCTGCAGCCTCTGACCATCTCCTGTACCGTGTCTGCAGCCTCTGACCGTCTCCTGTACTGTTTAGGCAGTCTCTGACCATCTCCTGTACTGTGTAGTCAGTCTCTGACCATCTCCTGTACTGTGTAGTCAGTCTCTGACCGTGTCTGCAGCCTCTGACCATCTCCTGTACCGTGTCTGCAGCCTCTGACCGTCTCCTGTACCGTGTCTGCAGCCTCTGACCGTCTCCTGTACCGTGTCTGCAGCCTCTGACCATCTCCTGTACCGTGTCTGCAGCCTCTGACCGTCTCTTGTACTGTTTAAGAAGTCTCTGACCATCTCCTGTACTGTGTAGTCAGTCTCTGACCGTGTCTGCAGCCTCTGACTGACTCCTGTACTGTGTCTGCAGTCTCTAATCGTCTCCTGTAACGTGTCTGCAGTCTCTGGCTGTCTCCTGTACTCCCTCCACCCCGGAGGTTGTGCCAGGCAGCTGAACTCTTTCTTCCATCCCTGCACTGCATTGGGCAGGTTCCTCCTCCCCACACAGTGCAGAGCTGAAATCAGATTCCCTTATACAGCCATGATCCTAAGTGTATGGCTGGCTGCTACAGGATGTTGCAGTTCTGACCTGTGAAAATCCTACGTCAGAACGCTAGCGCAGTAGCCAGCTACACACTGTGCAGAAAGTGGCTGTGTAAGGGAATCCAATTTCAGCTATCTGCTTTGTGGGGAGGAGGAGATCTGTTGCATATACCTGGCTCTGCCCTGTCAGCAGTGACCCCTGTCTGATGAACCCTGCACACTGCTCTTCTGACCACTGTTACATTTCCCTACTGATTCCTATACTCTTCTGCTGACTTCCCATCCTTTGCCCTGCTGCCCCGTCCTCTGTCCTGCTGACCACTGTACAGTAACCTGCAAATTGCTGTGTGATGATCGCGGCATCAGACCCCTGACCTTCTCACCAAACTCGTGACCGAAGGACTAGCCAATCTAAAACCGCGATGTCACGTACGTAACAATGCCACGGCCAGCTGCACCCTGCACAATGATTTTCCAGCTAATAGACCACAAATTGATGTACTGGCAGCCTGAGTGCGATTGTTACTGGGTCAGGTTAATTACGCAATTAACCCTTCACACTGCCACCACCTGCTTTTTGTACAGAGAAAGAGGAAACTTGGCAATATCAGCAATAACACTAGGATGATTGGATAATCGTCTGTATACCACTATCACCGCAGACAGGTTATACAGAGGGTTAAACACAAATAGTAGCACTCTTCAGCTGCAGGAATTCGTCGTAAATTGCATTAAGGAGCTTTAGAAACAGTTCAACACTCTCAGAAAGAAATATTTATTACTAAAAGGTCAAAAGGGTGCAATAAAAATAATTACAGAAAAAATATGTAACATATAAAATATATATATATATATATATACAGAGAACAACAGCACAGCAAAGAGGTAACAAAGGAGGTTAGCCAGCCTATTTTGTAGTCCCCCAGCAGGGGGTGTCTCTGAAGCCAAGGACCAATGCCTCATTTGGGGAGGGGTTGTCTGGGCGGAGACCCAAGCTAGAACCAAAATCCCTCCTAGCTTATATTTTGGCTCATAACTTTTCCTAGGCACAAGTAACATTCCACCTGCAGGTATATTGATATGCAGACACATTTGCGGAACGGTTAGATATGAAATATAAATACAGACTTGAATGGTTCAAGAGATGTAATTTTCTGCTTTCCTATATTTTCCAGCCAAGGAGAGTGACATATCAAACTGTTTGTCTTCTCATGGCCAATCTGAAGATATGCCTGGTTTTTATGTAAGTCTCTAATATTCCAAGATATGAGACATAGGGGAAAAATGGATTTTGAAGTGTTATCTTGTTTCTTACTTCTCTGGAATGTCTTTGAACTCAGGGGAAGGCTTGGGTTATCCTTTTTATGAGGTGGCAGATTGCACATGTTCTCAGACAGGGAGGTCTCAGCTCCCTTGGGGGTTTTATAGCTCAGAGCTTCCTGCTGTGCTCTGGCCTCCTGTGACACTTCTCATCACTCAGGCCACATGTCACTGTAAGTGAACAGAGAGGGAGGGGGGATGATGGTACAACATGGAGAATGCTTAACAAAATGGAGGGTTGGAGCAAAATGGTTGAACCACGGCCATCTCTGTGTGTACGCTTGCTAAATGCTGACCCTATCTTTTGCCCTGCTAACATTTTTTACTGCACCCCCACATCAGACCAGCTAGATCCAACCCTGGTGGCACATCATCCTTATTTTCTCAGGGGTATTCCAGGTCTTTCTCAAACCTAGCAATGCCCCTGCCTGTTCTGCGAGCCAATAACTAAATAGATTATAAAGTTTTGTTATTCTATTATTCTATGTAAAACCTATTCCCCAGATGATGCCCAAAGGCATAAAGGTACAATACAGTATATTAAAGGAATTTATGGTAAAGTGTAACCTTTATTTTTGAATCTTCTTTTACTGCTGTTTTGTTTTAGGAATTATCTTATTTTTATGTAACAATAAAGAGTTGATCAGTAGGGAACCTACTAAGATATTAAAATAAATAGCAATAATATTTCAAGAGTCCAATTTAAAGTGTGGAGTTAAAATATCTATCTTTAGCATCTTATTTAAACATTGTTTATCCTGCAGAACTGGAAAATTGAAATCCTACTTATTGAAAATAATTCAACGGCTCTAAATAATTTAATCTGTATCTTATTATTTAGTGCTTATGTCTGCTGTAAATAGCTTTAATGGAGAGGCTCCAGATTTTACAAATAAGGGCTTATAGAAATAGTGCCCAGTTTCCTGTGTACTTGGACAGATGACTTTTTTGTGTACTGTATAAAAATACAATGATTATCAGTTTGCATGCATGCTGGTTCAAGGTTAGTGATATCACTTTAAAGTGACCCCCTAGTAACTTTACAAGTTTACATAATTATATTCCAACATGTACCAATTTCTTTCTAGTGGATCAACTTTTTAGAACTTTTTAGTACAAGAGCACAGATCTATGTGATCTTCCCAAAACCAGTAGCACACAAAACTATAACTCACAGCCCTGTCTAGACTTTTAAAGAGAAATTCCTGCCTTACTGTTGAATCATTCTCCCACTAGGAATGAACTGGCAGGAAAGCACAAGTGGCTCTTCAGATGCAAATCCCTTCCCATGTTTTCCAATACCAACAGGTCCCCAGTACATGCATTGTTTACTCAATAGTGCAAACACCCTGGCAAAAACATTTTTATATTTGGAGTCCTATGTCCTCACTGCATTGTTCCATCAATGATGTGCAGAATGTAACACACTCTCCATGCCCATTTGTTACACTTATCCCCTATTGGCTGCACTAGCTTTTGATGCAGTTCTTCCCACACTATTTGCACTGCATTCTCTGGCATCTCCCCTTTCCACACTGTATTCTCTTGACTGCCTGAACCAATGTTGGCTGTACTTTCTCTGTCACCCTCCACCACTCCTTTTTTTTTTTTTTTTTTTAACAGAACCCCTCGTCCACATTGTATTTTCTGCCAGCCCTTGCGGTCATGCTCCCAAGCCGGGCTGTGTGTGTCCATGGACATACAACAACGGTGAGCCATGCCCCTTGCTGCCTCCTCACCGACGTTTGACTATGGCTACCACTGCTCTCGGTGTCTCCTGTGAGATCATGAAGTTTATAAGACCAGTGCTGCAGCTGACCACTGAAGCCGTGACAGGAGTCAGGTTTGTGTTTAGCGTTGGGATGGGCAGGACAAGGAGTGGGGCATTTTTTTTTACCTTAATACAGGTGCCAGCTCCCTAACAATCAGTAGCCCTGAGCAGGAGCTGTCCTATTTGCCATGGTAGTAATAATGCTGATTTTTTTTTCTTTTAATCTAATGTGATATATGGTCTCAATGGGTCACGTGACTGAAATTTCAAATGCATAGTTGCATGTTAGGTTGAAAAAAGACACAAACGGGCAAAAAAAATAATTAAAAAAACATGATACAATTTGATGTTAATAAGTTAAATATTGATAAATGTAAGGTTATGCACTTGGGGGCTAAGAATATGCATGCATCATACATACTAGGGGGAGTACAACTGGGGGAATCAATGGTGGAGAAGGATCTGGGAGTTCTGGTAGATCACAAGCTTAATAATGACATCACAAGCTTAATAATGGCATGCAATGACAAGCTGCGGTTTCTAAAGCAAGCAAAATCCTCTCTTGTATTAAAAGAGTTATAGACTCCAGAGAGAGAGAAATCATATTACCCCTGTACAAATCATTAGTAAGAAATCATCTGCAATATGCAGTTCAGTTTTGGGCACCAAGTCACAAAAAGAACATTGGGGAACTCCAGAAAGTACAAAGAAGGGCAACCAAACTGATACGAGGCATGGAGGAGATCAGCTATGAGGAAAGATTAGAGGAACTGAATTTCTTCTCTCTTGAGAAGAGGAGTTTAGGGGGGATATGATCAACATGTATAAATACATCAGTGGTTCATATAGTGAACTCGGTGTAGAGCTGATCACCCTGAGGTCATCACAGAGGACAAGGGGGCACTCTTTACGTCTGGACAAAAACAAATGTAATCTCCAAACACGGAAAGGTTTCTTCACAGTGAGAGCTGTGAATATGTAAAACAGACTCCCTCAAGAGTTGGTTCTGGTCAGCTCAGTGGATTTCTTTAAAAAAAGGCCTGGATTATTTCCTAGATACGCAGAATATAACTGGATACTAACATTTATAGGTAAAGTTGATCCAGGGAATATTCAATTGCCTCTCCGGGGATCAGGAAGGAATTTTTTTCCCTGCAGTAGCAAATTGACTCATGCTTTGCTGTGTTTTTTGGCTTTCTTCTGGATCAACTGTTGGTGTAGGATTATAACTTTTTTTTCTTTTTAATGGTTGAACTGGATGGACTTTTCTATTTTCAGCCAGACTAACTATGTAACCATGTTAGTATGTAGTTATATTTTGTGCATCTAGGAATGCATCCAGCTCATTTTTTTTTTTTATATTAAC